GGGTTCTTCGAGGTTGCCCTAAAAAAAAGGAAAGTTAGCAACTGATACTCTCCATCCTGAAAGTTACAAACGGGAAACATACCTCATTGACATAGGCAGCGCCATCAGGCGATGCATCCCTCAATGCGGCATCTGCGACGTTGGTGAGGTAATCCTGCAGCTCGGCCTTCTCTGCCTGGCTAGCGCCGACTGGAACGGTGAGGGAGCTGATGGTGAACGTGGAGGCCTGGCGCCAGGTAGGGTGGATCTACGGGTGTGCGTTCTTTGTTAGCGGACGAATCTCTAGAATCGTATTCAATAGGGAGGGAGGGAGGTGCATACAGCGTTATCAGCATCGGGATTTCCCTCGCCAGGGCCCATGACGTGACCAATATAGAACATCGCACCGCCCGCAAATCCAGTCCGGTACCCCTGGACAATCTCCTTATTGTGTGCTTCAATGTCGGTCTTTGCAAAAATACGCCCACCCACAAGTGCGGATTGCGGCACTGGCTCGTCCTCGAACATGTCGATGTATAGGTCATAAAACGACTTGAAACCCTTAACGGCGAAGTCATACGGAATGCCCGCTGCATCTAGCTCGTCCAGAACGGGCTGGGCAAGCTTCTCGAGCTGAGTCTTATTGATACCGGGCGCAACGGCAGGGTGTACGCGGAAGATGTTCCCATTCATGATTTCCCAATACACCATCATGCCGTTCTCGATCCAGTGGTTGGAGTAGGAGTGGAAGATCTCGACGCCCTTCCAGAAGAGGTCCTGGTCCGTGGTATGCGTGTCATTGAGGTTCATGATGAAGCCCGCTGCTTTGGCATCGTTGAAGGTCTTGAGGGTGACCGAGAGAACCGCGGCAAATGTAGATGGCCCTCCGCCCTTGAGGGCCCAGAAGAGATCGGAGTTTTCAGCACCGTTGGCAGTTACATACTCGCCGTCCGCGGTTATCACTTCGAATTCCAAGGCTTGGTCCGCGGCTATCGAGACCGTCAATATCTAGATGTACGCAAGTGGGCCTCGATAATAGATAGGCTTACCCATTCCATAAATCGTGGACAATGGACCGTGGCCTCCGCCCTGTACGTAGCCACCAGCAAGGCCGACAGTCTATAGAGCAATTGACCCAGCACGTCAGATCCAAATCGTTAAACCGAGCGAAGAATCACTACTTACAGGGCACTCTCCTCCAACTACAACCTGTGCCGGATTCTGCTTATTAGCCAGAGTATAAAGGTCGCGAGCCTGGACGCCAGCGCCAATCTTGACCGCCCGACCTTCGTAGCTACCGTCGGCGCTAGTATACTTTTTAATAAACTCGACATCCTTGAAACTATGCGTATTGATAGCCAGCGCGCCGTAACCAGTCGACCGCCCAAGGAAGTCGTGTCCGGTATTGCGGATAAGGAGGCGGATGTTGTTTTCACGCGCAAAATCGATGCCGGCCTTGATATCGTCGGTGGTTTCGGCCATGATGACATATTCCGGTGAGTAGCCCAGGGTGCAAGAGGCCTCTGGGGTGTCGGTGGGAGGGCACGTCACGTTGGTCCAATAATTCCAGAGAAGGGATACTTGCTGGTCCGTTCTGAGATGGGAGCTTCGTTAGCTGGTCGTGTCAAGCTGGAGGATATCGAAACGGTACGTACTGCCATTGCTCACTGTTGTAATTTGCAGTGACGTCCGCACACTTAGCAGCATCGTAAGTAGCCGTCCCTTCGAACTCGTTATAGCAGACGGCTGCGACAGGAACGACCTTGTGCAGCCGGTCGCCTACGGCAGTGCTTAGTTCACTCCAAGCCTCCTCAGACGGCCAGCACTCGTCGCCCTCATAGCATTTACAGCTATATGAACCATCCTGGCGCTTCACGAGTGTTCCGGCCTCATTGTTTCCAGCGAGAGGGGAGGCAATGGCCAGTAAACCAAAGCCGAGCGGCAGCAGTGCCGAGCGCGAGAGGAAACCCATCGTGGGGAAATAGATGGAAACGTGGAGCCCATGACATGACAGGCGGCGATCCACGCTTCATATAGGTTTCCCATTCCATGGGCATAATAAAACGGCTAGCCGACTGTTGATGTTCTAGCGGCTTTCGGGGAGGAGCAGTGCCCTCGGCCGGCCCATAGTGGAGTAAAATGTCGGTACCAACAGCCCAGGGGCGAGACACCGCAATGGGAGGATTTCCGGGAATTCAAAGTGGATGCAATTAATTCCAGGTTTATTAATATCGAGGATATTCCCCTGGAATATTTCGATATATTCCAGATTGTTGTTGCCGATATCAATTACCCAGTGCGTAAGCGCTATCAGGGGGATTGTGGGCGCATGTAGGCTGTAGCTGTTCCTGGATCTTGCCGTCTTTAGGCTTAGTTGATAGGCGATTAGCAGTCAACTGTCCGGCGGGATGAGACTTTGACATGGGAATGTTTCGCTTTTCGCGTGGCCTGTTTGGTGGGGGGTGGCCCGCTCCAGGTTAACCAGCTAACCAATCTAGACCACTTGCTGGATAATAATAAAGCTCCTTCGAGCCCCTCCCTTATGATGAGATCGATATTCTGCCAAGCGATGGAACGCGGCTGGGCCTGATAATGATATGGTCTGAGGAATCCATCCCATCCTAGGGGATCAACCCACATATGTTGCTTGGTCTGTCGTCTAAATAAACATCCGCAACCTCGCTTCCGTTCCACCGGACAAGGGTCACTGTCCGAGTTAGCTAGATCAAACAGCGTTCAGCAAGGTGGAATTAAGGGGAATAGAGAGTAATTGACATGACAGTCCTCGGGCTCTGAAGGGGTTGGTTCATCGAGCGGCTCGGCTTGTGGGCAGAGACTACTCGAAGCTGCACGAGAGATAGGCAGCGGTCCTGTAAATATATAAATATATCATACATTTGGCGAGACTGCAAGACATACCAAGCAAAGCCGTAATTCTATCCCGCTTCCCCGTCCCTGTCGATGTGTTGGATATTGTCTGGGATGAGGGTGGTACTATGGGCAATTGGTGGCCAACTGAACCGGGCATCCATGAAGCTCCGACGACGGGACCTGGCTGTGTGTAGTTGACTTGGTGTTCATACGCCAATTACGACCATCTAACAACAAATGTAAACCTGGGGGGAGGTAGTATGTGTATGTAATGCGAAATTGCTATTGTGGTGGGGTGTGAGTGAGGAGGGTAAATGGTGAACAGAGCCAAAGAAGTTCAAATATATAAATAATCCTTTAAACCATTTCCTATGAACACAACACCTATTTAATATTCAAAATATCTTGAAGTAAACCATATCCTTTACTGATCTACCAAACATCTATCAAAGTGCCATAAAAAACCCAATGAATCCATTTACTACCCAAATTTCACAATCTCAAACACCCAACCCAAAGAAAAAAAATAGATTTCCCAAACACCCATACAAAGGAAACTCCCCCAATCCAATCCAATCCAATCCAATCAAAACCAGCCCATCACCGTATCCCTCTCAACAAAATCACAACATACGCTCTCACAACATACGCTCCCTAACAAATTTCTCCCAAACCTCCCCAACAGCACGCCTCTCAATTTCTCCATCAAGTATACTCACAAACTGCCCCGCAGCCACAATCGTCGCCCTAAACTCCATCGGGCTCAGAAGCGCCTGCCCATCCACATTGCCCAAGTTATTCGCTCTGCCGACAGCTTTCATCACGATCTCGCATGACTGATGTAGATCCCGGAGACGCATGATGTTCGTGAATTGTGCCGGGTACGGATGTGCCTCGTAGTTGTTGTTGGGGCCACCATTGCTAGTCGTAGTCGAGGTCGACGTGGAGTGCGATGGGACAGGACCAGAATTGCCATTATCCATCATAACCCCCCCCTGAGTCTGCTGCTGCTGCTGCTGCTGAGCCATCTCCGCCCGCTTCTTCACAACAATCTCCCAATCCAAATCCGCAATCCGGCTCAGAAAATCGCGCAACGTGCGCGCCCCATCCTCGCGCTCAATTTTCGCAGAAATCTGTCGTAACAATGCGGAAATCGGCTGCTCCAGATCGCGAAAGGCAGGGTGCGTGGATAGATCGGCTGCCTGCCAGAAATTACCCGGGCGGTAGTGATGCGCCGGCTTCGTTGGGTTGGGATAGAGCAGGCGGAGGATCGGCTGGGGACGGTGGGTTTGCCAGAAGCGCTGGGCCGCGGAGAGGCAGTGGAATTCTAGCTGGCGGATATAGGCCGACTGGGCTATGGCGGGGGGACCTGTAGGGGGTTGGGCCGGGGCCGGGATAGGAGGCTGGTAGGTGTTGTGGTTCACCAGCTGGGTTGGGCCGGGAGGGTTGCTGACTCTAGGGTCTACTTGCATGGCTTCGGCGTAGCTAGGGGGTTGCGCCATGTTCTGGTTCGCTGGTGGGTTGGCGGGTGATGAGTTCTGTTCACCGTTACGGGTTGGCGTATTGGGAGGAGGAGGAGGCGGTGGCGGCGGTGGGGAAGGCGGAGGAGACCCGTTTGGTGGAAGGAGGGGTGGCATGGCAAGACTTTGTATTTATGTGGGTGGTGAATTCGTTGGATGCGTGATTAAGAAGGTAGGAAAAGGGAATATCGCCGAAGGAGATGAATAGATTGTTGCGATGCTGAGGTAGATATTCGAATATCAATATGCGCGGCGTGGGTTAATCAAGATATTTTCGGACAGAAGGGCAATATACCAGAGGTATATATAGCCAGACACCCTGGGACAATAACACACATCTTGGGCCACATAATTTTCTAGAAGCAATATACTGCGTGATGGCGTAGTGTTCAAGGTGTTTCCAGAATGCCGGCTTGGTTTCAGTCAGTACACACTTGGGCCTTCCAGATACTGTGAGATAGAAAAAGGGGCTTCGGATACTGTGGCAACAATGAATATCAGAGCTTGACAAAGGGAGACTTGTCGTAGAGTAGAAGATAGAAAGATAGAAAGAAAGAAAAGGAAAGACATCAGATAAAGTAAGCTTTATCTAGTCTGAAGTTCCAAAAAAAATAAAAACAAAAAGATAAATGACCAAGCTGAGACTCGAACTCAGGACCTTTTCGGCGCTAACAGTGTTAACGAAACGTGATAACCAACTACACCACTCGGCCAGTTGTTGTTGAAGGTGCAACTCAGTAAGGAAAAACCAGCTACTCCACACTTCGAGGGTGGGAAAGGGCTGCTGTAAATCAGTAAGGAGGACAACACAAAAGTGGCCGAGAACGTAAGAAACATTGAAAATAACCTAGTTAAACCCTCCATGAGTAGTATATTGGAATTTATTGATATGCAATCGTAAAAATCTAAATCACACAGTCCATACAACGACTCTTCCATCGACACCGCTTGCTGTTTCAATAACGTCAGTTTTACGTCGAGCAAAAAAAAAAAAAAAAACATGGGCGCCGAGAGGGCAGCTTACTGCTAAATTTCCTAACCTTCCCGTTAACGTCTTCAAAGACACGGAGGGTGCTAATGGTATTCTGGTGCACAGTCTGGAGTTGGGTATCGTTCTTGGTGCTACCCTTGATATCCATTTGGCGGAACTTGTTAAGGGCGCTCTCCTCACGAACACTGCCGGCTCCTGCACGTGCTTTGGTGTCCACTGATCCTATCAATTGCCAACCGCCTTCGTTTCCTGAGAAGCGGTATGCCTCGCAGTCCTATAAATTGAATTAGGTACGGTAAGCAGTTAGAGAGGGCTATGAGTCGTCTCTTACATGTCCAGCAGCAATAATCTCATCCTCTCCATTCCAAATCAAGCTTGTAAACGGCAACAACCGAGTGCTGATATTCAACATCGCCTTGGGTGGCTGATCCGGCGCACTGGGGTAAACAACAGTAATGCTGGAATCATGAGAAGTAAACGCCAGCGAATCTCCGCTAGGCGAGAATGCAACCCCATGAACCCATCCAGCGGAGTCGTTCAAGTATTCCCCACAAACAGTATTGAAGGGGAGACGCTCTCCCCAGGCGCTTGGCGGCGGGCGCTCATCAATGCCCTTGATGAAGCTGGAAAAGACTCTCGCGTGGGAATCAGTAGATCCAGCTGCGAGCAATACCGAGTTTGGATGCCACGCTAGAGTTGTGATGGTACTGCGGATGGGCTTCTTCAAATGCTTCGAGATCCACCAATCGTTCTCCTCCTCGAAGTAGCAGACGGCAATCACCCGAGCACCGGAACCGACGGCGAATTTCTGCTCCGAAGGCGACCAGCGAACGAAGGTGGCAGCGCGGTTAATACGGAGGAGCACGAGTGTCGGTTTCCATCCCGCCGGAGTGCGTTCCCAGACATAGGCATTCCGATCTATATATATGCATCGGCTTAGGAAGCGGTAATCGGCAATTCACGGAGGGGATGTTACTGACCTTGGGAACAAGTCACAATTTTCCCACTTCCAGGCGCAATATCCACACTGGTGACGGTCTTGTCATGGCCCTTCAATTCATCTTTCAGGACAAACTTGGAGCCTGATTTCTGATATAGATCCACGATATTGTCCTTAGCAACAGCGAGGGTCTGTTTGTCTGAGGAAAAGGAGTGGTCGGCGATCGGGTGGTGGAAGAGGTGGTGGACTTCGGGGGCGGCCATTTTGAAGATTCGATGGGGCGATAGGAGGAGCTCTCTACTATCGCAAGGGTTGTAGCAATATATTCGCAGAGATGATGGTGATGCGGAGGTTCATGATGTTCAGGTGGGATGTTCCTGGATGACGACGGCTGATTAGATAATACATCACGTGACATATCTTCTCCGGCTTTTCTCTTCGTCCACAACAAAACATCGAGAACAGAGCAGACCAGCAAGCTAACATTTGCGTATCCGATTCTACAAAGAAGATTGTCGAAGACCGCTGTATCATCTCCTTGTCGCATTTCATACTTATACTTTGCTCTATATTTGCAAGAATGGCGTCCAAACCTGCCTCGGCCGTGGTGAACGTAGGGGCACCCAACCAAAGGTATGCTGATACGAAATCCCATCTGCTTGAATCATTCACTAACGACAGACAGTTTATACTGCACGAATCTCCCGGATAAGCTGAAGAAACCGGATCTACGATTGGCACTCTACACGCTTTTCTCCACCTACGGCACGGTCCTCGATGTGGTTGCCATGAAAACCGCAAAGATGCGCGGTCAAGCTCATGTGGTATTCAAAGATATTCAAGCGAGTACGCAGGCCATGCGGGCGTTGCAGGGCTTTGAATTCTTCGGCAAAGAGATGGTGCGCAGGAATCCCTTCTACCAGACTCCAAGGTGGGAAATGCGCGGATATATGCTGACGTTTTATGCCTTCCAGAAAATCGTTTACGCAAAGGGTAGCTCTGATATAATCGCGAAGCTTCGAGGGACATACAACGCGCCAGCAACCGCTCCCGTCCCTGGTGTGTCTACCGAACTTCAAAAGTCTATCTTCAATGCTCCTCCATCGGCTGTGATCGCCTCCACCACCGCACCGCCCACTGCCGGGGAAATGCGCCCCACAAGTGAAGGTCCGCAAGGGGTTAAGCGACCCCGAGAAGAGGAGGAGAGCGAAGGAGAGGCGCCAATGGAAGAGGAAAGCGACGTATCTATGGAGGCTTCATCCGACGAAGATTAGGCTGGCCACGACTCGGCTCGAAATTGGTATTTGTGCTATGCAGAAGTCGTGCGCTTCTCCGGGCCCCCGGGTAGTGCGTCTTTCCAGAAGGTTCTTGATACAGTTTTCGCATGTTACGGACTTGATTTGTCGACAAGAAGCTCGCCCGGGACATGCAGGCCAACGCAATTCCCTACCAAACCAAGCCATAAGAGTAAATACGTCTCTGTGGTCACATCTTTATCTCCGGACACGTCTCTCATTGCTTCTGGGGTGTTGCAAGGGTGGACGAAATAGACCGGAAACCCCGATATGGGGTGATGCTGCAGCCGTTTGTTAAGCATTTGAGGCTGAATACAAATGGTGCAGACGTGATACGTACCCCGATGCTCAGCCCGCCCATGACACCAACGTCCTTAAGCTCCGATCTGTACTGGGCGGGCACAAGACGATTGTAAACGACGTCGAGTCCTTCTCGGCCCTTGGCAGATAGGTTGTGCAAGAAGAAATAGAGGATCGGGACTTGATAAGTAGGCGAGAGCAGGATGTTGTATTCTACTTGGTGCATGGGGTTGTGACATGGTTGTCGAACGAGTTCTTCCTGTGTATCCCGTTTGTCAGAATACCCCGCTGTGGACGAGCGATTCATGATTGTTTTCTTTTTCTCTTCCAGCTCCGAAAGAGGGTTATGTACGAACAGGATCATCATCATCATCGAGTCCAATCTCGGCCATGTCATCGTCTTCCCCCTCTTTACTACTTAGCGTGTCACTAGCAACGTGTTCATGCACTTGCGGGGAAATCGTCGTCTTGTCTTCAAGATTCCTGTTGATAATCAAAACTAGCTCGTCATGCTGTGAAGACAAGGCCCAGAAAATCCTCTTGGTTAGCTTTAATGATCATCTTAGTCCTTGGCCATATTTGGTTTTCTTTTTCTTGATTTTCCCTCCTGCCAAAACGTGATAGGACCATGTAGTTTCGATGCGGGACATGTCTTTGTGTACAGGAACAAAAACACGACCTAGGTCTTTTTGGGTTTTGAACATAGCAAATCAACCACGGGGATCAAAGATAAGCGTCTGCATACCTTCTTTTCTAGCCTTACACTTGTCCAACCCAGGCTAGTCAGATCTCCTCGAAATGCATCGCTCTTTGCCAACAGCGACTGACACGCAGATGCAAACTCGTCTGGGGTCAGAAATGGGAAGGCTGGTATGGACGATGTCATTGGAAAGACAGCCTAGGCAGCATTCGCCTTTATTGGATCATCATTAAACTGTATTTTTGGTGGTTGTTGATTCTGGATGTAGTTCTATTGCCAATCAATCTGATATGGATTTGCGTTCTTGTAACGACGATATATCAGGCGCTAGACCCAACAGAGAGGCGCCCGTTTCTGTTCGGGATGAAAAGCCAGACGATAGAGAAGCTGTTGATCGGGATCGATATATTGATTGCTTTCGTGTTTCAATGGCGTTTGCTTAGTTGCCGGAGGGGGGGGCGGATGTTGATATGGACTGCTGGTGTCAGACAGCGAGGTTGCACCAGGATGCACTATCCCGTCGAGATGACTTTTCGGCAACGTGGATGCTCGTGCAGATGGGCGTTGAGAATGATTTGACGCGAGGAATTAGTATTGGAGTCAAGTTGATATTGGCGGTGGTGGCCGCTGCTTGCTTATTCATCCACGGCCAATGGATTGCTCCTCCTGCCCTCAACCTCAGACATCAACATCAACATCACAACAACCTCAAGGACAGCATCAGCAGCAGACGAGGATGTCTTTTCGGATAGCAGCTCCGTTGTTTTTCTGTCTCGGTCAGCTCAGCTACGCCCAGTGCTAGTACTGTAGAGCTCTGAACTGCCCGGCCTGGCTTCAATCGGTATCCAGTCCGGCCCAATGGCAATCCTCCCTGGCCTGTCTCATGGTCTGAATCTCCTGGTGTCGGAGTGTTATGTAGGGAGGGGTTCTTTGCCTCTCGGCATTGAAGTCAACCTACTGAAACTACAAATCTTGATTCTCGTGTGTCTCCTGTTTCACAGTGCTCGATTCTGCCAATCTCTTGACAATTCTGCCAACTAACCGGCCTTTCCAGGGTGCGCTGTCAGCTATTTATCCCTGATAATGGATGATCCAGGCTTCGCCTGATCTTGTCCCAGCTGCACATGTCGCCTCGTCAGCGTGTCATTATTTGAATCCTTTGCCGAGCCTATTACCTTTTGTGCTCCTCGACATCCATAGCTATGGATGTGGAGAAAAGAGCCCTATCCAGATCTGCCTGGATTCTCCAGTCGATGACTACCAATCGACCCCATATTCCCAATCCAGGGTTTTGTCTCTTTTTTTTCTTTCTCCCGGATCCGAATCAATCCCGCTTAACATTTCAACAGCTGGCCCGGTTGATCTTTTTTCGTAGCCGTGCGGTTCCGTTGCGCATATCCCTTTCTCGCCCATGCCCTTGATCTTCTTCCTGGCTTCATCCCTTGCCCTATAGTTTCAGCCACGCCTCTTTGCCTTTTCCTTCTTTC